GCCCCCCTTGTATCTCCCATCCCATCCCCCATCCCCTTCTGTCCCCTCCCCCCTTGTGCCCCCCGCCCCTCCCCTCCTTCCTCCAGCCCCCCTTCTATCCCCATCCCCTCCCCGCCCCCCTTATGTCCCCCCTCCATCCCCCTACCCTCTATCCCAGTCCTCTCTTCTAGCCCCCGCCCCTCTATCCCTCCCTGCTCTCCCTCCTCCATCCCCTCCCTCCTATCCCCCAGCCAGCCAGCCCCCTCCCCTCTTCTATCCTCCCACCCAGTCCCTCCAGCCCCCAGTCCTTCCCCGCTCTGTCCCTCCTCCGGCCCCCATCCCCATCCTCTCTCCCCCATCCGTCCTCTACCCCCACCCCCCCCCCGCTGCCCGGCCCACTCTGGAGCAGCTTCTGGCCATCAGGACCTAGGGCCGGCCAGACTGGGCCAGGACAGCGGGCCACCCACCTTGCGTCCCGTCTCTGGCAGCACCGGCACCAGACGCCTCCGAGGGGATGAACAGAGCAGGGCTCCCCGTCCCATCACCTAGTCCAGCGCCGGGCACTCAGGGCATTGGGGGCACCCGGGGCTGCGTCTCCGCCTATCTCAGATCCGTCTCCAGCCCTTCGCCTGGCCTCCTGCGGGCACCGCGGCTTTCGCTGGCCGTGGTGCTTCCCCTCGCCCTTGGTCCGCTGCTTCCCTTCCCTCCTCCATCCGCCTTCGTGTCCTGCTCTTCCAGCCCTTCCTCCTCTCTGTCCTCCTGCCTTCCCCCTTCCTTCTTCCCTCCCTTCTCTGTTTGCTGGCAGCTGGGAATGGGCGACAGGGGCTGGATCACTCAATGATTCCCTGTTCTGTTCATTCCCTCTGGGGCACCCGGCATTGGCCACTGTCAGAGACAGGACCAGGGCCGGTTGCAGGTACAGGCTTACCAAGCAGGTGCTTGGGGCGGCCACTTCGGAGAGGGGCGGCACGTCCAGCTGTTCGGCGGCAATTCGGCGGACGGTCCCTCACTCCTGCTCGGAGCGAAGGACTTCCCGCCCAATTGCCGCCGCAGATCGCCATCGCGGCTTTTTTTTGTTTGGTTGGGTTTTTTTGTTTGACTGCTTGGGGCAGCCAAAACCCTGGAGCCAGCCCCGGACAGGACACTGGGCTAGATGGACCTTTGCTCTGACCCAGTATGGCCGTTCTTATGTTCTCTCTTCCATGTGTCCACGTGTTCCTTCCTTTGCCTTCTCTATTCGCTCGGGCTGGCTCCCACCTCCGCCCGGTCTCTGTCCTTCGGGTCCAGTCTGTATCCTCGCCCGGCCTCTCTCCTCCACCCCGTCTCTGTCCTCCGCCCGGTCTCTGTCCTTCGGGTCCAGTCTGTATCCTCGCCCAGCCTCTCTCCTCCGCCCGGCCTCTGTCCTTTGGGTCCAGTCTGTATCCTCGCCCGGCCTCTCTCCTCCACCCCGTCTCTCTCCTCCGCCCGGTCTCTGTCCTTTGGGTCCAGTCTGTATCCTCGATTGGCCTCTCTCCTCCGCCCGGTCTCTGTCCTCCGCCCGGTCTCTGTCCTTTGGGTCCAGTCTGTATCCTCGCCTGGCCTCTCTCCTCCCCCGGCCTCTGTCCTTTGGGTCCAGTCTGTATCCTCGCCCGGCCTCTCTCCTCCGCCCGGTCTCTGTCCTTCGTTCCTTCTCTCTCCTCTGTCACCTCTGTCTCTTTCGTTCTCTCCCCCCGGCCGGCCGGGGGCCCAGGCAGACGGAGGGGGCTGAGGTTGCTGGAGGATCGGGGGGCCGGGGTTTACTCCGACGGGCTGGGGCGCAATGGGCGGAGTGGCCGGTTACTATAATGGTGTTGGCCTGGTTGCTGGTAACCATGGCAATAGGGTTGGGTTGATGGGCTTGGGGCTGGCAGTTGTCACGGTAACGTGACAGGGTTAGCGACGACCGAGGTGACATGGTGAGGTTGGCGGTTGCCATGGCAGGGTGGGTGGTTGCTATGGTGACATGGAGGGGATGACCGGTTGCCATGTTGGAATTGGTGGTTGCCATAGTGACATGGCCAGGTCCAGGGTTGCCACAATGACATGGCGGGGAGGGTGTGGTTGCCATGGTTGCACAGCGGCCATTTTACCCAGGCCACTCTGGCCATTGAGGGGCTCAGGCTTCGCCCTGGGCACTAGGCCCCAAACCGGAAGTGTCTCCCACTCAATCAGGGCCTCCCCCACCAGGCACCCCTCCCGCTCTGCCACCAAAACCCTCCTCCAATCACTTCTGGGTCCCTGAGCCAATTGGACGGTGATTGGATCAACGGGATGTCGATCAATCTCTGTCTCGCCACATTACCCTGCCGCAGCCAATTAGTCTGCTGGATTTTAGAGTGACAGAAGCAGTGACCAATAAAAATCCGTCTGGTCGCAGAGAAAACCCGCCCCCAGGTCGCTGATGGGCATCGGATCGGTGCTGTCAATCAAGATTTTCTCCCCGCCAAGAGCCAATACCCGCCTCTTTCCCCATCAGCCAATAAAATAAAGCTGAGGCTTGATAGACGGGGTAGAAGCCAATAGGAATAGCCTGTGTCGCCGCCACTAGGAAGAGGTTTCTAAACAGCATTACCCAATAGGAGATGGGCAGATTTTGATTGACAGCCAGAAGAGCCAATAGAAATGTTAGATGCCGTAAGGCAGGTTTTACTGAGCAGCAGCCAATGGACTCCCTCGCTAAATGTGATTGACAACGGTGGTGTCCATTGAGCGAGCGGGAGCGTTGATTGGCCGTCGGGGTGGCCAATGGGATTATCTAGGGGAAGGAGGAGGCGTTCCCGTCCAGGGGGGGCGGAAGATGGCGGCAGGAACGGGCCCGGGGGTCCCGGACGGGGGCCCCGAGGTGCCAAACCGCGACCGCGGCGCCTTCGAATGTAACATCTGCCTGGAGCCGGCCCGGGAGGCGGTGATCGGGCTCTGCGGGCACCTGTACTGGTGAGGGGGCGGGGTGTACGCGAGGGGGCGGGGTGTGTCGGGTGGGGGCGGATGTGTCGGGTGGGGGCGGGGCAGGGCGAAGGGGGCGTGTCGGGGTGGGGCAGGGTGAAGGGGGAGGGG